AACTCCAAAAAGAAGAACACGATGACCTCCTTGGTCTTCTTGATGAATGGGGGTAGGACTTCCAGAGCTTGAGCATCTTCGTAGATGACATCAACAGCGATAACCACCTTCTCTTCGGTGTGGCTGTTGGTCTGGTAGTCAAATATGGCAATCAGCTCCTCAATCTTGTTGTCTGGCAAGCGGTTAAGGAAGGTGTCCATCGTCAATTCGCCAGACAGCATCTGATGGCGGTAGGTGCGGATTTTGTCCTCAATCGCGTTGAGAACATCTGCAAACTGACGAGGAGGGTTGCCCTCCAAGGTGGCAATCTCGGTAGTGGATGTTCTCTGTCTGATGCGGTTCTTGCTCTTCTCAACCAAGGAGGCGATGGCTTCCTGCTTGTTGATGGAGCGACGAACTCCACCAAAGACGCCGCCTCTCAATCTGGGAACGAGCGTCACCACCATGTCATTGTCCACGCAACTGTGAAGAGACTGGTAGATGGGGATGTCGATGTCGCGTAGGTAGAGAGCAGTGTTCTGGCAGTTCAGCCTGCCGCCAGACACCTGCTCAACAAGAGCCATCAAAGAATGTCCGGTCATTTGGTCATCAAAGTGGTAGGTCATGGTGATGTCCCCGTTCATGGTGGCAACCTTCAAAGTCATCGTATAGGGCAAGAAAGACATCTCACTGTTCAAGTCAGTCTTGTCAAGGTTGATGAGGAACATCGCATCATCTTCGTTCTCATCATGTGGCACCGTCAAGCTCTCAGCAACGGAGATGGAGGACGCGGCGTCATCGTCATCCACCGTGTCTGTGTTGGCAACATCATCAAAGATTGATACAGCACCAAAGCGATAGGCGATATTGGTTGAGACCTCTTGCCAACCTTGACGGATGAGGTTCGCCAACGTGTGCTTGTTCATTCTAGCATTGACTGGGACAACATCTCGCAGCATATTTGCCATCAAGGGGCGTGGAAGCTGTTCAATCTCAGCCAGTGTAGGGACAAACTGACGGTGTCTGAAGATGTCAGTCCCTTCATGGTGGTAGTGGAACACGCCTGGTTCGACAATCTTCAAGGCAACATGCTCACCCTGCTGGAAGACAAGCAAGGACATCGCTGAAGAGCAACGGGAGGGACAACACTACTCAGGAGCCCAAATGCCAATCTGAACAACCAAAACAAGGTGAATCAAGCGAAGGCTGATTTGCAAAGTCTCACATTCAGAAGCACTCTGCTAGATGTGAGCCGTCTTTTGGCACACTGTTCAATCTGTTCATCGTGTCTGCCTTCTCCAAAGGCAAAGGTTTCAGCAGAGCTCAACAATGCTTTTTGAGAAAGAAGAGAAACATCTGCACGTCTATGAACACTCATGAGCTTTCCTTTCGTGTGGCTCTGCTAAATGTCTACCGAATTGAAATGACCTAAATGTCATCCTCAGGAAGTCTCCACATCAGACTCACCGTCCTCTTCTTCCGTTTCTTCATCGTCAGCATTCTCATGGTTCTCCTGCTCTGGCTGTTCAGGAGGGGTTGCCGAACTTGACGAAGTTGTCGGATTCGTGGCTTGAAAGTTGGAAGCCCACATGGCTGTCATAGTCTCTTCACCGCCGAGTTCTGTGTTGTAGATGTAGACACGCGGGTGGCTCAAGAGGTTCTTACCATTCATGGTCAGGGCAATGTCCTCCAACTTCTTGTAGCCCTTGAACTCGTCAGTCTTTTCCAACATCTTGCGACGAATGTTGCCTAGCGTCTTAGAGCGTTTGACCTTCATCGAGACCTTCTTTCCAGAGGGCAACGTGATGACCACCTTGAGCGTTCCAGCCTTTTTAGCTTGGGTCTTTACCTTCTCCTGCTCCTGCTTCTCAAGTTTCTTCTGCTTCTCGACTTCGTCCTTCGCAAGCTTCTTCAGAAGAGTCTGCTGTTCCTTCACGATGTTCAGCTTCTTCTCAAACTGCTTCATCTGAAGGGTGAAGGCTTCGGATTGTTGGCTTAGTTCTTCCATTGACAACTGCTTCACCAACTGGATGAGCTGTTCCTCATCATCAGTATCAGATGGCTGTCCCTCTGCACCATCTTCAATGGTTGGTTGCTCAACCACGTCATTGTCATTGTCATAGCCACCAGACCCAGCCGCTTGAGAGGCTTTCTTGGGAGCCATCTTTACACAGGAAGGAATGACAACACTTCGGCACTTGAGATGTTCGTCAAACTACGGTTCAAAATCAAGTTGCACCTTCAAACAAACACAGTCCGTAACTTCATACACTCTGAGCATCCTGACAAATCAGAGATGAAGATGAAGAAGTCGTAGCCGTGGCAGGCAGGCGACCGAATTATTGGGTGGAGACGAAGCGAAAACAAAGCACCACCAACACCTCAGAACTTGATAACTACTAAAAGGGTCAACTCTTTCAAATGAAAAAAATGTTTGCCCCCAGCCCAACAATGAACAAGGGGGGCAATTACCAAAATGATTACCTTAACGAAAACGATAAATAAGCTCCCCAAAAACCCTCTTTTAAAAACGAATAAGGTGGTTAATAGGTTTGAGATGAACATAAAAACCAGAACAGGCAACCATCAACAGGCTTCCCCCCAGGCCCCCTACTTTCTCCATTTTTTCCCCCCCCCCCCCCCCGAGATCTTAAGGCCTTTTCCCCCCTTGAGATCTTCTCGCTTTTCCTCCCTAAGATCTTCTCCCACCTTTCCCTGTTGAGATCCTTTCCCCCCTTTCCCCCCTAGGGCCTTTCCCCCCTGAGATCTTCTCCCTTTTCCTCCCTAAGATCCTTCCCATCTTTTCCGGTTGAGATCCTTTCCCCCTAAGGCCTTTTCCCCGCAGATCTTCTCCCTTGCCTTTCTATCATCTTTCCCCCCCTTTCCTCCCTAAGATCTTTCCCACCCTTTCCCTGTTGAGATCTTTCCCCCCTTTTACTCCCTAAGGCCTTTCCCCCCTGAGATCTTTCTCTCTTTTCCTCCCTAAGATCCTTCCCCTCTTTTCCGGTTGAGATCCTTTCCCCCCTTTCCCCCCTAAGTCCTTTTCCCCCCAGATCTTCTCCTTTTCCTCCCTAAGATCTTTCCCACCCTTTCCCTGTTGAGATCCTTTCCCCCCTTTCTTTCCCTCCTAGGGCCTTTCCCCCCCTGAGATCTTCTCCCTTTCCTTCCTAAGATCTGTCCCCCCCTTTCCCTGTTGAGATCCTTTCCCCCCTTTCCCCCCTAAGGCCCGAGATCTTCTCCCTTTTCCTCGCTAAGATCTTTTCCTCCTTTCCCGGTTGAGATCCTTTCCCCCCTTTCCCCCCTCAGTTCCCCCCCGAAAACATTTTTCCCCCCTTCTTCGAAGATCTTCATTTCCCTTCACTTTCTTCACTTCGGTTCATGTCCCTTTATGTATGTTTTTGTTCCCTTTCTTTTATTTCACTTCATGTTATTCATTTTCATGCATTTCCAGATGTTCACCAGCATGGGCAACATCCCCAGCATCACTTGCATCATCCGCATCCTTGGCAAGCGCTGATGCGGATGATGCAGGTGATGCTGGCGATGTTGCCCAGGAGGTGCTTGCAGAGAATTCCTAAAATGTGCAAATCGTTGTACACACAACGCAACGCCCTCTGGCAAGGACCGCTCAGGCTCCTGCAAGCGAATTCCGTTCCACTCACCTCCGCCCGCGTTAAACCTCCCATTTTCGCAACGATGTGTGCTGCACGGAATACAGCCGTGCGCTGACGACGCGCCCCCGACGGCTCCGGGAGGGCGACGCGCTGGTGCTCAGCGGCCTCGAGATCATAGCGCACTTCGATCCTCTCATGTGGGTGGTCGAGAACCCGTGGGCCCCCCGGGCATTTCTTATGTCCAACACGCCGCCTTGTTGTCGGCGGATTAAATTAACTCCATGACGGTATCCCTCCATACTTGTCACAAGCATGCTCAATCCCAATCAGGGGTGCTTTTCCAATCCGAATAGGGTCTCCTTGATGGGTGCGGTTCAAAAGTTGACTTAAATCTAAGAAGAGCTGTGCTCAACATAGTTTATTCAAAATCTCAAAACATACTCCATAAGGCAACTCTTATCAGTTGTTGAACAAAGGTTGAAGCGTGCCACATGGCAATACTACTGTTTGCCAGAATTGAATAAAACTTGAAAATTACCAAATTAGGCTGCTCCTTTTAGATGTTAATCAACAGTTGACCACTATCTAGATTGTAATCAAAGAGTATGACACTGAAGATTATTAACGACCGATGCTCTTTGTGATTGTCAATCCAAGTTTGAGCAGTACCCAATCAAGCTGCGCTTGTAAATATGATTACCACCGTGAAAAAAACTTTATCCAGCGGCTATTGCTACTTGGAATTACATGGTAAAGCATTTCCAATCAGCACGCCCTTGTTGCTTTTTAATCAGATGCGAAAACGGCATCCAATAAGGAGACCCTTCTACGTGATAAAGTCTGCTCTCAAATGTATCCAGATCCAAATGTAACAAGAGCCTCTCATGAGATACGTTTCAACATGTGTATAACATCTAAAAAGCTTAAACTCAAGCCCCCAAATATGTGAGCAACGTAAACAAGAAGGAGACTCTTGACTTTAATCATTGTTACACGTATCCAAGAGGGGTGTGCATATTGAATGTCAATCCAAATTCTAAATAACATATTCAACTATTCAACATAATCTTATTAGATGTTAATCAATACTGAACAGTGTTTTATACAAAAACAACTCACTAGCATTTTATCTAGTATTGGATCATGTGCCAACTTGCAGAATTCTAGCAAGAGCAGCCGGCATTGCAATTCTCAATGTTTGACTAAAATCTAGTATATCAGCCTTCTTGGGGTAATGTTCAAGCGGTGATAAATTTTAATTTGGGCAGCCCGACAAACGATTAAAGGCTGATAAGGGTCTGATTTGTTTTGTGGTTCTGACAGCAGAGGTTTTCAGTGGGGGGATGGCTGGCAGGAGGCAGTGTCGCCCTCACATGCTCAAATCTGCAACGGTAAATGCCAACTGAGGCGTATTTGAATCGTGGGGAGGAATCGCCCTTCATTACAGACCTGTACTTGGGCGGTGGCATTGCATTTCTGGCGACTTTGATCCGTGCCTTGACTGGAAAAGGTGGTGTGGTGCTTGCCTTTGGCTCTTGAGGGTTTTGGGGGGCTTCTTCAGAGCCCATCTCGTTCGATAAATCCAAACGTTCTTTCAAAAGTCAAGCAGAGTTAGTGTTGCCACTCTGGTTCGACGTTGGTCCGGGCTGGTTTTTGAGCTTACAATCCACCACCGCCGTCTACATTTGAAGGCAGGGTGAACCCTGCGATTTCATCAAGCGCCTTTGTTTCTGGAGCCGCAACGGCATGGTCTTACCACCTTCAAGGCCATTCGGGATAACCTAGTTGTTCCGACTTCTCCCCCCTCTTTGCCCGTTTTCGTTGCGTCGCTTCTGGCCTTTCTCGTGTGGATCTAGTTCCTCCCACCTCAAAGTCGTCGGCGAGGCTTCCTGGTGCTCCGGGGCCACGCCATGGAGGAGCGGTGGCATGGGCTCACGGCGCCCTTCATGTCCTTTGTGCTGCCGCTCGGCGAACGCCGAAAGAAAGCGCCGCCCAAGGGAGATTCGGGCGAGTTGGGTTTTGTCCCAACTGAAAGCTGCGTTCTGGCCGATTGCATGTGTCATGCGACATTTGTGACACCAAGAAAAGAAGTCTTGGTAACTTACACACATGCTGCTGGCATCTTAAGGGGTACCTCTTTTGGTTCTGACACTTTGCCGTCAAGCCTATTCTCACCTGCCTCCCAAGAAACAACTTTCCTTCAGGCTTCCCTTTCTGCAGCATCCAAAATGGGTCCATGCCCAACTTGTGTCGGCCCGCTCTCCCGAAAGCACGACCGCTCCCGCACTTGGTTCGGCTGCATCGCCCAGGTTGGACTATGCGCCATTTCTGGCTCTCGCCTTTGCAGATGTCCTGGACCTTGATACCAGCAGGCGCTTGCTTGTTGTTGTTTTGCTTTGTTTGCATTTGCAAGCGCATGAAGCTCTCACGCTTATATTTGCCTACTCCTATTTTGCGAAGTTGTTTTGGCGGTGCGCCTTGGCACGTTCCCACCCCCCAACCAAAAAACATGATCGCGAGGAAGCAAGCCCGGCCCTCCTGGTCGGCTTGGACGGGATTGCCGGGGCAAAACCGCTATCTGTATCATCTTGAAGTCCTGCTCTGCAAAGTCTTCCCTATGGTCCTCTTCATCCCCCTTCAAACTGCACCCATTGGCTGGGTTTGACCCCACGAGCTTTGGGGCCTCCTACCAAACCCCCGAAGCGGCAAACCGGGGTGTCTTCGCCAATTGTCTCCCTCCTGCCCGGCTGGAGGTATCCTTGCGTGGTGTCCCTGCGGGAGCGCGCCAAGGCCGCCATGGCCCGCTGGACCCCCTCCAAGCGCCTCTCCGGGCTCACCGGCCATGCGCTGGACCAGGCGAGCGCGGAACGCCACAAGAAAGTGTTGTTTCTATGAGTTGAGCCGCTTTTGGTTTGGTTTTCAAGAGAAGCCACTGGATTTCTGGAAAGGGTGTGAAGGGCTTGGTCCCGGCTTTGCGATTCCGAGACGGTGGCGGACGCCGTGGCGGCCAGCCACGACTTGGTGCTGCCGCCTGAGCACATGCCCCTGGATGCAGAGCCGCCCTTTGGGCCATCTTCGCGGAAGAAGAAGCCGCCCGGCAGATCTCCCTCCCAGAAGCTGGCTGGCTTCGAGGCCTTACGAAACCACCTAAGCCCTCGACGGTCTTTCGGTCAGTTGGGAAGAGGGTGACACTGGACAAGTGTCCCCGGTCATTTGCCAACATTCATTGGCCTGAGAGACCAAATGCGCCAAGTGTAGACACATGCTTACTGCAAGGACCGCATGGAGCTGCTTGGACTGATCTGTGGCTTTAAGGAAAAAACACACCCTGGCAAGACTGGCAAGAACCCTTTGGATTCAACTCATGCCTGAGAGACTTGGCTTGAAAGGGATGGCCGCCCAGGAAGAAGGCGAAGCCGGCGCCGGCGCCTCCAGCCTCTTGGACCCAATGGACCGTGTTGGTATGGCTGGTTTTCTTATAGCATTTGATGTTGCTACCAAACATATGCCTTACAACAGATTATGAAGGATTGACGAGGCCATGAGCCCCTGAAACAGAACGACCGCAAAACCTGGCTGTGCGTCAAACATCGCAACCTGACGCACAGCGAAGCCAAAGGAGACTGTTTAGGATTATCATGTCTACTTGTGGGATGGTTGATCTCCTAGCGTGGTTTGTAGGGATTTGTATGGGTACTTCTTGGGGGGAACACTTGTTGTATTTTAACATGTCCAGTGCGAAGCAGCGCAGTCCTGAACCAATCGAACGTGATGTGTATATATATATATATAGACTGGCATATAGCTTAAGTGAGAAGACGTTGCTGACAGGCACCTTGTTCACATGGGTTGACCTTGCAAAAAGGCAAAACCTGCAGGTTGAGCAAAATCCACCGGATTGCTAGGACCATGTCTTCGGAGGTAACTGGTTGACGTCAGTGTTGGCACCCTGTGTTGTACGTTGTACGCCTTCAGTTACTACATGTTTCAGCTGGGCTATGTGGAATTGTCGCTTAAGCCTGAGGAATCCTTGCCTGCCAAGGAGTGACCGGGCCTGGATTTTCTAAAAAGTATTCTTGAAAATGAAGCGAGCTACTAAAGCCCCAATGGGCCTAAGGGCTGCTTTTGCCTCTTGAGCGCGGTTTTGTCGTCTTGGGGGCCCCAGTTTTTTCCCAGCCCTCCAAGCATTGGGATTCCCTTCTTGGACTCATTGTTCCCTTTTGGTCTCCTTTGAACTGCTTGTGCCTTCCTTACGTTTGACCCTGGCGTCCCATTTGCCTTCGCTAGTTCGGCACTTGTTTGCGTCCAGGTTCACGAGGAGTCGAGACTTGGCGTTTCGCAGCGGAGATGTTTGTGGCTGGACATGCGGAGTATGTTTTTTTTTTTTTTTTCTCGGAAAAGATCCAAAGGCGGCCCAGCTTAGAGTCGTCTTAGAAGTTCTCAAACGGGTACTCAAAACCGTTTTCGGCGTTTCCCTACTTAGCTTTTGCAAGGATGCTGAAGGGATTCTTCAAGGGAGACCAAAGCCGGTCAACAGACACAATGTCGAACGAAGCCAAGAAGCCTACATGCGGGGGGCGGGGGTCTGTTTGCCTGGCCACTCCCCTTCCATCCGGAGGGCGGGGGTCTGTTTGCCTGGCCATTCCCCTTCCATTCGGAGGTTTTCCTTGGAGACGGACCTTGAAATGTTGCACCAACTTTCACACATATTTTGCGCACGTGAAAGGGGCTGGCTCCAGGTTGAAATGAGAGCAAGTTCAAACGGTGACAAGATCAAGTGTCTCGTTTGCTCGTTGACCTCATTGAAGCTGGTGCTGTCCGTCCGGGTTCCCTACTGATCGTTGGACTTGGAAGGGACTGGTAACACACCTTTACGAATTTGGATAGCAGATTCATTTCGGAAGATGAGCCACCGAACTTCGACTTTTGGATATTTGTTTGGAGTTTACCATTGGCCAGCTAAAAGCCGCTGTTGCAGGGTTTTACGTCCAGGCAAGAAAGCACCTGAGTAACTGAGTATCACCCCCTTCCTTCAGGCAGAGGTCAAGGCCGTGTTGGCGGCAAAGCGAGTGCCAGAGTGCCACTGTGGACCGTGTTGGGCTCAATGCATGGCCGGAGTCCGCAAGCAAATCAACACCCCATCCTCTTGTTGCCCTCTTGCAAGCGACCCTACAACTCACTTCAGGAAAGCCGTCTTGCGGCTGTCGTAGCTCACTGGACCCATTCAGTAGCGGGCGTGCAACAGCCACTGGACGGATTACATAAAATGGTTGAGCAACCTGCTGAAAACTATAGTCCTTTGCCAGTAGCTCCGGCCTCACTTTAGGGAGAGAGGACATTCCGATGCCGATTGATAGAGCCAAGTGCCTCGTCCTGACATGAACACGACAACAAGCAGTGCCACTGGTATCCTTTGACATAGCAGACCACCTGTTCTCTCATTTCGGGTGAATTGCGGATTGTGTTGTTTGTGCTGGCATGTTGGACTGAGCATATTGTCCTAAGGAATGTCGAGTCGGATTTGGAGGACATCGGCAATGAGGCGGGCAGTCGTCCGGGCAAGTCAGTCTTTGTAAGTAGCAACTTAGTTGCTCAAAGCCGAATTGTTTACCTTTTGGTTTTCCGTGTTCGGTCCATGTTTCGCACTTATGCCCTCAAAAAGTTGAATTGTAGTTCCAGCAAGTAGATGATCTCTAAGATCTCTAAGTGGGTCCTTGGCTGTTGATGGTCAACCCACCAAGGACAGGCTTAGCATGGCCCTGTCAAAATCATGCTCAGATCAGGCCCAAAACGGTCCAATCCTATTTGGCACCCGTGTAGTTCCTCACAAGCTCCATCACAAGGCGGGCCAGCACAACACGCGCGTGGTAGTGTCCCCAAATTGTGTGGGAGATTCGTCAGGGCTTTTCAAGGGGGCCGGGGCCCCTTGCCCAAAAGTAGAAGCGGGTTCCAGAGTATTGCAGGGCCTGTATCTGAGCAAAAGGAAGCTGTAAGTTGGGTGGGGCAAGAAGCCTTTTTGATTCTTCGCTATGGGTTTAGGTAGACTTCTTTCACACACACACACACACACACCATGTCGAGTATGACATTGACGCGCGGTGCCACAGGCTCCGCCTGACATGAGGCACCACACCTGGCAACTCGGCGTCAAATGTGCGTGGCACTGGGCAAGTGGGAATCTATGTTCTTGTTCGCCTCAAAGGCTTTTTTTTACATTGAATAGGTTCGAGGGAAAACCCGAGGGTCAAACAAAAATGTGTGGAGATGTGTAGAGATCATTTTCACCCACCTTCCAAGTGTTTTGCTAATGGGACTTAAAATTGTAAGGGGCATAAGATTTGATGCTTGCTCTCAAGTAGTCATGCTGAGCACGCCCTGTTGCGTCTTGTGTCTATTTGGAGTGTTCGAAGTATGTTCGTGGTTAAGCTAGGATAGGATTTGCTGCGACTCCAAGTGCTCTTCCAGCTTAATAGAAAGGAATGATAAGGTCAATATAAAGGAATGAGAGACCAAGAGAAAGGAATGAGAAGCGAATGAGAATGCCATTGAAAGGAATGAGAAGTTCAATAGAAGGGAATGAGAAGGCCATTTACAGAAATGAGAAGGTCAATAGAAGGGAAATACAATTTACAGGAATGAGAAGGCCAGTACGAATGAATGAGGAGGCCAATAGGAAGCACTGAGAAGGTCAACACAAAGGAATGAGAAGGCCAATAGGAAGGAATGAGAAGGTCAATAGAGAGTAATGAGAAGGTCAATACAAAGGAATGAGAAGGCCAAAAGGATGGGAAAATAATTTTCAATAGAAAGGAATGAGAACATCATTAGGAATGAATGACAAAGGCAAAAGGCAGGAATGAGAAGGCCAAAAGAAGGGGATGAGAAGTTCAATAGAAAGTAATGAGAAGGTCAACCCAATAGGAAGGAATGAGAAGGTCAATGGGAAGGAATGAGAAGGCCAAACCCTAAATCTGTCCAAAATCTACCCTAAACCGCCCAAACGTAACCCCCCCCCAACACGAAATCAATCCTAAAACAACTTAAAAGTACCGTAACTCTTAAACACTCTCATAAACTCTAAACTCGCCCCGAAACCCACCCCACCTTAAGCCCACCCTGAACCCACCCTAAACCTACCCCAAGCCAAACCTAAACCTACCCAAAACCCACCCTAAGCCACGTTACACCTACCCAAAGCCCACCCGAACTCCACGCAAAACTCAACCCTGAACCCACCCTAAACACATTTCAATCCAAAAACTAGACCAACCCTACACCAACCACAAAACCATCCTCAACCAACCCTAAACCTACCCCTAAACTTCCATGTCCTAAGCCCACCCTAAGCCCACCCTAAGCCCACCCTAAGCCCACCCTAAGCCCACAAACACCACAAAACAATTGAACTCCACCCTAGACTCGCCCTAAACCCTCCCCCCCCCCCGCCAAGCCCTAAACCCCCTGAAACTCAAACCCAACCCTGAACCCACCCTAACGCATCCCAAACCACTTGAAATGGACCGAACATCTTTACAAGCGTCGCAACAAATCCCCGAACATAGGGCGGCCTTATCAACATGTGCAAATGAGGGACCCTGGAAATGCGTTCGACTCCTATTCGGGCCATGTTCAAATGAAGACACAAATCCCGCGTGATCTGGTGAAGCCAAAACGAAGCGCATCCTTGCTGTGATTTCGTTTGCCAATGTGCTGCCAAGCATGCACTATTGAGCAAATGTGACATCAGTGGTATCAGTAGGTTTTTCAGAAGTTGAATGGCCATTCTCCACTCAAAATCTGCAACAAACAAGCCAGTTCCTCTTGCGCAGAAGCGGATTCACTATTTTGGGCAATGAAATCCTTACCTATGGGGGTGTGCGGCGTTGGTAGATCACAATTTACCCAGAGCCATCTCTTGGGATGTGTGTGGAACTCAGATCACGTCTCTGAGGCACTGGCTGACCTGCCAGGACGTGAGCAGATGGGCCATCGCGAGTCGGAAGCAGGCGCGCGTTTGGCGGTTCGGGCTGATAGATATTTTATGTTTGGTCCTGCAAGGGACTTTTGACGCAAACAAATGTGTTCGTTGAAATGGTTCTAAAGAACGTAGTTATGCAATTTTACTACAAGACCATGAATGTGTATGGCGAACAACTAGAAACGACAGACATATATATATATATATACATATACACACACATCAGATCTCGGCTCCTCAGAATCCATTTGTTGCGGAAAATCAATTATTGCGCGTTGCTAATTTAAGAGTTTTCCAGCTTCAAAGGTGTTTGCAGTGTGGGTGGGAACTGCAACAACCTCAGTTAGTCTTTTCTGGCGCGGATGCAGCCCCGAATTGGGTAGCTCTGAGAGAACTACTACCGGGTGGTCCAGGAGCCAAGCAACAGAGTCCAACTGGTCAGAAGCTGCGTCTTAGACAAGTTGCCTTGGCCAGGTACGGGACTACTACAAGTTCTCCGGCTGCTGCGACCGGAAGCCATCGTGGGGATTCTTGCAGCGCGGAAACCCAGAACTGTGAAGAGAAGTACTGTGCTTCTCTCGCAGTGCGCTTTCGGGCAAAAGGCAGGCATGCGTAAGCGCAGGAACGTTCTGCTCGCGCTTTCGCAACTCTGAATTTAATTAGTTTCGGCGTCCGTACCATGTCTTTTGAATGATTTATGCTTCACATAGGGTGTTTGTTTGTCCCTCATTCATATTCAATATCAATATCATGGGGCATTGCATGTAGCCACCCTTGTTGGATTGTTGGGATCTTGCAGGATCTTGCAGGCTGAACGTCTTACATGCAAAGCCCAGGAACCCACAGAAGTCAGACATGCGCATTTGCCTCTCATGTGTTTGATGCAGTCACACCCCCGCCCCCGCCTCCCAACCAGCAAGAACGAAGCATCCTGTTGCCCTTCATGTTACAGTGTGGACGAAGAGATCTTAATAACGCCAATGAATGAAACAGGCTGGAGCCATCTATCCCTCTTTCCCCTCCCTTCCACCGCCAACGGTCGGGTCTTTGAGGGACAGATGAGTGAGTCAGGAGATGGGATCGATGACGAGGGAAGAGTGACTGAGGAAGACGAATCCATTGGCTCACATCCTGTTCCTTCCGTCACACCAGTTACTAAGGATAGACCTAATGAAAAGACAGCTTTTATGATGCTGAGATTTCCCATTGGTCATCTTCATTCCAACCCTTCTAATTCCCAAGCTTTTAGTAGCTTTTGGATGTTATTTTGCTTTTATTGAAGTTCCTGTGTTTCTAAGATCTAATATTGGATGAGGAATTAATAGGTGAATGATAGTAAGGAGATAGGATAAGGACATGATATCCCTTCCACCTCTCTCCCTTCGTTCGTGAGTTGGAGAGCGGATTTGTGTGTCAGGTGGAGGTCCTTCCCACATCACGCCCGCTCGTCACCATTTCCTCACGGTCTAATTCATAAGCTGAGGAAGGATGACGAGGCAAGGGTAGGTGATAAGTGGCTGGAAGGACCTGATAAGCCACCCACCGTTCCCTTTGGTCACTCTTTCCTTATCCCATCTACATCTTGGAATCTTCAATCACAGACGAAGGAAGGGAATGAAGTGGTAGGAAGGACATCTATCTCTGAGTCAACAAGGTGGACAAAGGAAAAGAGGTCCTGATGACCCATTATCTCGTCAACAAAGGAATGGCCTGGAGACACCTAACAGCCAAGGGAAAGAGAATCTGAGGTAGGGAAAGGAAAGACTCAGAGGGAAGGGGTTCATTGCTTCCAAGACATACAAATGATTGCCTACATCCTAATCCTTCCTACACTCACACACCCTTCCCGGCCACTGAAATGGCCTGACTGAACTGGGCCTTTCACCATTGCAGACGCACGCATGGTTGGAACACACACAAACAAACACACAATAAACAACTCAGGAAGTGACAGTTTGCTAAACCTGGCTTGCAGATGCCACAGATACCCAATCCTTGCCCGAGCCACAAACACAGATGTCCAATGACAGTGACAAGACATTCAGGGCGGTTGCGCTCCTAACACGCTTTGATTGTTGAGTTGTCTCATCGACAGAGCCTTCACTTTGAAAAATCGTGTAGCGCTTTGCACGCATACAAATCGCATCGGCCCTGTACGAATGCAATTCGAGTAAGCAGCTCAACCTCTTGACACAGAGCTTTCACATGCAAATGCAAAAGGCCTTCTAGATGTTATTCAATGGTCTGCAAGGGACACTTGTGGTCATGCACCCAGCACCTTGGGTGTCTATCCTTGGAATCTTATTGCAGGTCCTGTGCCATGCACGTGTTTCCCTCTAGTTGCCTCTTCTGCGTCACGTGATGCCGCTATTTTCAGCGCGCCACAGGGAGGAGGAGCCATTCTTCGCCAAGGCGCAGTGCCTGGGGGTGTCGGATCCGCCATGTTTTGACAGCGGCGGGGCGCGGCATTGATACATGGGATTTCCTAAATGCAAAGCAAGCAGGGAAACCCTGCAACTTACATCGGCATGTGGTTGGTTTACTTGAAATGTTTGGGAATCCATCGATCGTGCCCTCTTGGTGGTAACAAGGACTAAACAGAAACCAAGCCTGTTTTGGGGGGCCTTACTTCCCTCCTCTCTAGTCCCATTTTCTGGAGTTCGCACTTGCAAAGATCGTGTTTGAGGCTTGGCGTAGCAGCATTGGTCCAGCTTCTCTTGGGAAGCTGGTTTGCACACTGGCGGGTTTCATTCCACAAGAGTCAAAGTCTGTCGATTTCTGGGTCACTCACTTTTCACGAAGTGATAGTAGTTTTGCCTTTGGCAAACATGAAAGCAGTTGGGTATTTAGCGGGAAAGCAATTACCCAGCCTCAACAGGGAACCCTCAATCTCTGACTTTCATGTTGGTGTCCTCCTCCCTGCGTTCATGGTGGGTTTGCCGTGTGAAGCACTGGGCCCAACATTTTGACACATTTCGGTTGGGGGTTGGACCTCAAGGACTGCGACCCCGGCCTGGATATCGACGAGTTGGACGAGAGCTCGGGGCTATGTCTACTCAGCCCCGCAGGCACGGTTGGCTGAGTGGCCGCGCTTGGGGGCTGTGTTCAAGCGTGCCGTTTTCCAGCTTAGAGAGCACCCTTTACTTTTGGGGAGCCCCCTAGTAGTGCAAGAAACATTATCCAAGGGACAACATTGCTCTGGGAAGACAGCTGCAACGTGGTGCCAAATCCGTTGCATTTGGGTTCAAGCTGGGCTTGCGCTCGGCGGATGGCTTTCGAGAGGTCTAACCAAGCAAAAGACGTGTGTGTGTGTGCCCTAAGTTTCCCAGATACCCGAGCAAGTTGCCAAGAACCTATCCCCACAAAGGTTCGAGTCGGATGATTGGATCAAGTGCATACGCGTTGTGAGGGATTTGTTGTTTGAGTTCAGCAGGTTGGATGCTGGTTGGAGTGTTCTAGAATCTCAGCGGTTGTTTTCCTTGGCAGCAGTTCACACCGCAGTTTCCTTGCGGCAAGCCCAGGTAGGCCACTGACAAGATGAAATTTCTGCAGCCGGTGCCACCAACCCAGGGCAAAGCGAGCCAGCGCTTTCGTAACAGTCGGCGCCTAAAATTGCAAAATTGGGCAACTACGCCCACTGACCATCGCCCGTTCAGTGTTCGTTGCAACGCGGTGCGCCTCTTTTTGCCATGGAGACCTGACGCGATGCCTAGAGCGGCCTGGGCGCTGGCGGAAACCGGCGCCGGCGCCGAAGGACGGGTGCCGGAAGAGTCCATACAGGACTAAGATGCATTGCGGAGGGTCGAACTCAAGTGGATCATGGGGTTTGGCCTTCCCTCAGATCCTTTGGAAGGATATATTCATCCGAAGGGGATAACACGCTTTCATTGCCTTGGCAAGTTACGTAGGAGAAGGCCTAAACAATCCATGGGTTCTTCTTATGCTTCTTTCAGAAGGACAGCTCATCAATGGGTGCCCGGACCCAAATTGGATGGTGGAGACGACCTGCGTCATGTTTAAAGTGAGCTTAACCCCTTCCTGTCGGTTCACCAATGAGAATCAACTGTTGCACTCCAGACGTAACCTTCGAGAGATTTCTAGCCCTCTTAGCAGTTCTTCCGCAGTCAGCATATGTTTTTCCTGGCATGGCTAAGCTACTGGCAGAAAGAACTCAAAATGCAGGGCTTGCTCGGATTTGCCAGGATGTATCGTTTGACCTTCTTTTTGGTAGATGCTAAAGGCCCCCCGTTCCCGCAGGAGATTTTACACATGATTGAGTGTTTGTTCGTTTAGCGCAAGTATTTGGACCAGAATCCATGCTTCGCTCTGTGAGCCTGTCAAGTGGCTCAACCGCCTTTTTCGCGAGTCAAGCTGCATCCTTGCTAGCCAAGGTCTAGAAAAAGGTGTTATTGGTTTCTGCCCCAAAACCTCAAGTGAACTGGAAAAAAGGCAGCAGCTGACACAGGGTTCCTTCAAGGGCTGCTCCTCGTCTGTAGATGGTCCTCAATTGTGCTCTTAGGTGCTGGACTAGATATTTTTTTCGGTAGATCGTTTCAGTTCGAAGCCAATTTGGAGTTTAGAAGTTTAGAGACTTGGACGCTCCAACACCAGTATGGCTTGATGTGAACCCCGATCCTGCCCTACTGGGTTGACCTTTTGCGCCTGGCTTGCGCCAGGCGTAGCCCTGTCCACACTGAGCTGTGCCTCGTCCCTCACGGGGCTGGCGCCGCTGCTTCACTGGTTGGATGTTTTGGCACCCAGGTGCTGACACTTCCCCTGGGCCCCTTGTGCAGCCAAGTGGTAAATCGATGGTCCCCAGATGTGGCTGCTTGTCGTGCAGCCCGTGTACTATAAAAATATGTCCTGTGCTTCTGCCAGCCGGTATTGTGAGCTAGCTATTGAGCCCATTGGACATGTTCAAATTTTAGAAACAAACGACACGCGGTCCACAAAGCAACAAACACCAAAACCCAATTCAATGGTGCCTCAAAAAGGCGTTGCTGATTCAAGCGATTCGCCATCCCATCATATCTCATCCACCTCACTGAGTGTTTGCATTTAACTGCCAGCAGGTATAGCTTGTTTAGTCCATTCGATGTTGGTTCTGACTGCCAATCGTGACCTACGTCCGTGCTTGAGGCGGTTGGACGATGCTGAACTACTGAAGGATAGTTCTTGTCAAAGAATCATCATGCTTTCTCAAGCTTCCATGAAACAAAGGACATAGAGGGCTGACTCTGGATGTTCATGTCCTATGCTTCCTTGGCCAGATGAATGGAACGCAGCAACCCCAATCCCACGCCCTTGAAGGTAGGAGGATTTGGCATCAGTTGTCAATTGCTGCAACCGGCTGGTGTGACCTGCATATTTCCAGGTGGCAGGCCGGGATTACCAGATAGTGCGCCTGAAGCGAGGTTGTTGTCCTTGCACATGCCCCTGTTAAATTCGATTCACGCCCGAGCAATAGTTTGAACAACCAACAATGCATCCATCCATCCATAGTCGAATTGAGAGGGATTCGGAATGCACTCCAACATTTGCATGCCCAATGGCAACCTCAAGAACGTTTGGGACATTTGCAGGTGACACGAGCTTGTATTGTTCAATACTTGACGTGATCCCTTCCATATTTGAGGACCTGGATAAATGAAAGGGATATGCATGTGCAGTGGCTTCAAGGCTGGCAAACTTGCTTGAAGTGAAACAAAAACCAGTCGGACGTTCGCAGAATGCAGAAATCCATTTTGCTTCAAGCGTCCACTTTGCCCGACCTGGGAAGTGCATTTCTTCGAGCCCAGGTGCGAGAAGATCCACTGCGGATGCTTTCTTGTTTTCCCCGTGCAGGAGCGCATGGGGCAGCAGTCCCTTTTGAGGGGTGGGGGGTTTGAGTAAATGCCTGCCCTGAGAAGAACACAAACGTGTTCGGCTCTTTTTTATGGTGGAACAGAGGGAATTCTCAGAGAAGAGCCACTGAAGTGCTCAAGGATGCTCAGCGTATAATGTACGAGGGTTGGTCGACCCTACTGGTCGTTGAATTCAAGGATGTCATAGGGAGCAGAATGCCAGACCAGTATCGAAGATGTGTGGGGCACAAGAAATATCTCTTTGCAGGCTGAAAGGTGAATCTCACAGCCTTCGTCCAGAAGTCCACTTAGTTTTGGCCTTCTTTATTCCAGGAAAGTTGTAAAGATCCGTCTTGAAGAAGCCCCATGGGGACGATCATGCAGGACAAGAGCGGCCCTAGACCTAGCAAAGCTCTTTCATGCCAAACAGAGCTTTGCCCTGTGCCTGAGTTTGTTTGTAAGCCGAAGCACCAGCAATCACTACCCTCACCTAGAATGTTTGTGCAAAATTAGTCTCATTTGTGCCCAAACCTGCAGAAGACTAAACAGCTAGCACACACACACACATGTTCAAGAAAACGTGCAGCAACAAGCACAGGCAATACCTGACAAGACAAAGAGCGCCCATGCATATGCTCTCACATGTTGACGCGAATGTTCCTGGCAACTGCAAGAACAAGTAATCCCATATGTGCAATCACAACACATTCTCAGACATGAAAGCCGTTATGCTGATAGCTGTTCCAAAACGTACGTTTTCACGTTAGGAACGCACGTTTTAAAAACTTACGTTCCGGAACGTACGTTTTGGCTAGATGCGTTTTTCGGCAACCCACTTGAGCAGCCTACGTCGGATCCTTTTCTTGGTTGTTTGGGGATTGGCAGGGACTCACGGATGCGCTTGGGCAACCCGAAAAAAAGCGTTTAGGCAACCCTTTTCTTGGTTGTTAGGGGATTGGCAGGGACTCCTCAGGGATGCATTCTGGCAAGCCGCAAAAGTACATTGAGGAAATCCGTTTCTTGGTTGCTAGAAGATTGGCAGGGACTCCTCAGGGATGCGTTTTGGCAACCCGAAAAAAAGAAGAAACAAAAAGAAAAAGGAAAAAAAAAAAAAAACGCATTTAGGCAATCCTTTTCTTGGTTGTTAGGGGATTGCCAGGGATTTCTCAGGGATGCATTTTGCCAACCCGAAAGAACGCATGTAGGCAACCCTTCTCTTGGCCGTTAGGGATTGGCACTCCTCAGGGATGCGTTTTGGCAGCCCGAAAGAACGCATTTAGGCAACCCTTCTCTTGGCCGTTAGGGATTGGCACTCCTCAGGGATGCGGCCCGAAAGAACGCATTTAGGCAACCCTTTTGATTACTTTTAGGGGACTGGGAAGCTTGGATGCATTTGTCCAACAGAGAACGCAGTTGCAACACAATGAGGCCCTAGGATCACGCTTAGGATATACAGGGTTTTTATGTTGGAGATGTGTTCCCCGATGCCATATTAAATTGGGATACAGGCGTGCATTTTCCAACCAGAGAAGCTTGGATGCATTTGTCCAACCTCCAAGAACGCAATTGAAACCAGGAAGCTTGGATGCCTTTCCCCGGGCCCAAGAAGCAATTTGGAGCCAGGAAGCTCGGATGCGTTTCCTCGGGCCCAAAAAGTGCATTTTGGAGCCAGGGATCCTGGATGCGTTTTTTCAGGGGCCACGTTCTGAACGCACGTTCCGGAACGCACGTTTTACGTTCCACGTTTTGGATCGGCCATCAGTTGACGCGAATGTTCCTGGCAACTGCAAGAACAAGTAATCCCATATGTGCAATCACAACACATTCTCAGACATGAACGCCGTCATGCTGTTAGCTGTTCCAAAACGTACGTTTTCACGTTCGGAACGCACGTTTTAAAAACTTACGTTCCGGAACGTACGTTTTGGCTAGATGCATTTTTCGGCAACCCACTTGAGCAGCCTACGTCGGATCCTTTTCTTGGTTGTTTGGGGATTGGCAGGGACTCACGGATGCGCTTGGGCAACCCGAAAAAAAGCGTTTAGGCAACCCTCTTCTTGGTTGTTAGGGGATTGGCAGGGACTCCTCAGGGATGCATTCTGGCAAGCCGCAAAGCACATTGAGGAAATCCGTTTCTTGGTTGCTAGAAGATTGGCAGGGACTCCTCAGGGATGCGTTTTGGCAACCCGAAAAAACGCATTTAGGCAATCCTTTTCTTGGTTGTT